CAATTGCTATGAAATGTTTTTTGTTATACTCACTGGTTCTCCTGGCTCTACGTGACCACCTGCAAAGTATAGAATAGGCATAAACATGCATGGGAATCTTATTCATGTGAGCTGTATGTACGGTATATTATAAGTTTACTGTTAACCCTCAGACTCTTAGCTGTTATAATAACAGCTAAGAGTCTGATGGTTTTGACATATTTATACCTCAGTTAGCCGGGTTGTTCTGAAAAGCTTAAAATTTTAGTTATTTTCAAGTAGATTAGTAGAAATGGGGTTGATGGGCCAAGAGACAACTGCAATAAATTGTCATTGACAATATGTCATTTTTTTCAAGAAATGGGGTGGCTACCAGGTATGTTATGGTAAACTACTGAGCTGCTGGACTCCGGAATGAGCAGTCTCAAGGTAAGACACTTCACTCTCACAGTGCCTCTCTCCACCCAGGGGTGAGTAATGGGTACTGGCAAATTGATTGGGGCAGTCAGACATTATGCTGGGGGGTAACCTTCAATCTACGAGTAACATCTCATCCAGGGGGAGTAGGTGCATTGTACTCCAAGCCAGATACAGGGACAGTAGGTTAATTAGAACTGCACTTCTTACCTGTCATTTTTACAGTGCATGCTTTAGATTATATAATATTTCAAACATAATTAATAATATCCTAGAATATTTTCTAACATGCTTGTAAAGAGAGATGGTTAGAAATTCACAGGTTGAGAAAACAAATAACTGTTAGTAATTGTTATACAGGAGGTTAAACTTTGCATAAGTACTGTCGGAGATTAAGAAAGATCTAGGGAAGGTTAAGCTGGTTAATTAGAAATCATTTACTTCAGATGTTGTGCACAGTACAGCTGGGATCAACTCAGTGCAAGGGTAGTTAGGTTATTGGTGTTTGGTATAAAAATGCATGTTACGTCTTCCAACCACAATGCAAATACTTGAATGTAAACTGTATGATTCTGTGTCTCATTTTACTGCACCCAAATTTGCAATTAGCCAATCAGAAGCTATATCTGCCGTCCTGATTTCCTGTGATGTCAAGGACAATATCATGGTCATTTGGCCAAATTTGTGTATATGGTTAAAATACCAAATTGTAACATTCTTTTATGCTTCAGTGGCTAATGCTTGGACTTCCCATGGGCATTTTGGCTCAACTATTTTACATCTCCTCAAAATACAAACTTGCCTGATGTGGTGCCAAAACGTAGCAAAAAGGTACAAATCATTAGGTATAAATATTGACAACCAGACATGTACATCATGTACATGATATAGTGTTCTTGGGCAAAACACTTTAGCCTCTCACTTTGCCTCTCTCCATCTGGGTGTATTTTAAATGGGTAGCAGCAAATTTAATGCTGAGGCCGACTAGCATTCTATCCACGGGGAGGTGAGCCAGGATTAGCTCCAGCCTGATAGGCTACTTGGCTGGTATGCAGACTATAACACACATAATTTACAATTTATTGTGTATACCTGGAGGAACCCATACACAAGGGAATGTCCGCATGTGTTGTGCTCGCCTTGTAAGCAGTACATGGCCGTCTGATGATTCCAGCAAACCAGCTACTGCTACCTTAACTCCTTGACGTGTCGTACTCTCTGGAATGTTAGCAATATCTGATCCCGTAAGAAAACGACAAGGACATCCAGTGGGATGCTGACAGGGAAATACATACAATGCCACAATCAGAACTGACACCTGTTAACTCTAGATACAGTACACTGTACTTATAGGTTGAAAATTTGCATTGCAAGCAATATGTTTGTGTGTGGCCCTAGACAGAGGCAGATCTAGGGGAGGGGCCAGAGGGTAGGGGGCTGGTCCCTCCCCCCTTATTTTGAGTGAAAAAAAAATTGCAGAAGGAAGAAAAGCTGGCAGGGCAAGTAAAAAGCAAGGTCTGGATCCTCAACTGCTAGAGGGCAGGCCAGAGAGAGGAACAGTGGAGGGGGGGGGGGGGTTACTCTTAAGGCTGCCATTTATGACGAAAATCAGGAAAATGTTCTTTCCCCTAGCCAACCCTCCCCCCTCCTAGAGAATTGGGCGACTGAATATTTCTGATAATGTGTACACATAAATAAATAATTTACAATGTAACTTTTTAGTCAAGATTCACACAGGACTCTGTATCCAAGTCCTACAAGTACATTTAGTGCACAAGAGCAGCCAGTAATTTGTATTAGCATCCTAACATTTGTCATTGTACATTCTGGAACCTTTATCTCTTAAAAATTCAAAATGCAAACCAGGATAGTCGATTTCTTACCATAAACTTGACACCTTGGGCACTAGGATAAATCTCCAGTCTCCCATTGCTGTAGCTATACCCAGCAAGCATCTGGTTTTCGCTACAGCCCATTGCAGTTAAAACACACTGATGGCAAAAAAGTAAATTACAAAAATATTAATTTATGATACTGAGGTGTTCACACTCTAATCCTGTAATTAAAACCCAACCCTGCAATTTCCTCATCATAATTACAGTTAAACCTACTTAAACATAACCTGATGTACCTCAGGAAGGTTTGAAATTTTGAGAAACATGCATAGCCAAAAGCTCAACAAAACCTGAATTGTTTTGAAATCCTCTGATGCGTCTAATCAGCAAACAAACTTGAGGGGTGACACTGGGAGTATGACATCAAGTCTACAAGTAGCACTGGCTCAGGTATATAGCTGGGCAACCCAATGAGTAAGCTAACTGCCTGTCCTTGGCTGCAGTTTTTCACAAAAAGCACAGGGGAAGGGGGATACCTTTGTACACCTTTGGCAATTTTAAGAGAGCCCCACTTTGACAACAGATATAAAAAAGTGTATCTGACTGCTGTACCCTCCAGATTAATACTGCGTCTGGGCTGTATAGGAGACCTTTTCTCTGCACAGAAAGCAGACTGTCATGCAGCTTTGTGGGATGTGAGCAGGTTAAGTGAGTGTACATCTTGTAGCCCAGAGGGGTGGAAGGGGAGGGGAGGAGGAGGGAGATAACTGCAACTTGCTTTACTGTTTGGAGCTGGAAGTATACAATAGGCAATATACAATATCATTTGAATGCCAGTACCAGAATCCTTTACATTTTCTTTTTCTTGTGCTAATTGGCGCAGTTGTTTTTTAACCCCACAAAGCTGAAACAAAATGAATTCTGGTCGTTGTTGTCATATCACAACATCATGCAAACTACATGTAAGTGTGCTATTGATGATACTAAGAGTGCAATTTGCGTGTTTTTGCTAGCATGGCTGGGATTATCTGGCTGACAGTGGTAACTGGTTACACATGCTTGTCACATACACAGCTCTCCCTAAATGAAGAAAAAATTCCACTCCCCCCCCGCCCCTACCAGGATCAGGTGATAGAACAATGTCGACGGAGCAACTCAATACGCCTTTATACGGGCACATGCAATTTTGTTAGCCTTTGAAATATTTACTGGTGCTTATTCATTCCAAATTACACTCAAAATCATGTGATTACCTAGATACAAATAGCGCTCAGGTTAGCCTGAATATCTCCCAGGTTTAAGCTGGTTTGAGCCTGTTTAAAGGCGAACTTTTGCGAGCTAGTAATGGCAATGGAAATGCGATTTTAGTTCAAACAGCATCGCACTTTAAGCCCCCATCGGTAACAGACAATTTGCGATAAACGATAAATTTACTTTCGATTGATCGATAATTTCTTTCTAATTATCACTTTTAGACCTAGACAGCCTGTTGGAGTCGGGAGCCAAGTACATGCACTACTGTTTTATTTACTTACTCTTTCGAACGAAGCAGGTACTTCCCCTCCTCCTTGATATTTACTCAGAGACACTCTTGGATCGCTCCTTTCAGACATCTTGGAAGTTTGTCGACGGCAGTTCAGCGAAATCTCTGGACACAAACTTCAATGTTTTCCATGCAACATATTTAAGGCGACGAGCAGACAACGACAGTCGAGCGCGGTTGCCAAGTTACGGCTTCCAGAGGACCCCGGTTGTAACGTCCGCCGAATCGAATCAAAATCCAGTGATTGTTTTGTTAACACTTATCCACTGGATAGCGATTTATCCGGCCGTGGATAGCGTTATCAAGCCTTCGAGCAACCGGGGCCAGAGTCATCACAATACAGGTGGCTTTCGTCTGTGGCTTACTGATTTGAGAGAGACGTTGTGTTACATCGAGTCACAACAGTCACATTCTGAGGTTGGGCTGCCTGTGATCGTAACTAACAATTCGAAACACAGTATACGGTTTGGGGTCGTTTCAGAGCGATTCCTGCAAGTTTCATATTTACCGTTTCCCTCTCCAGAATTGATGAAACTGAAACTCGCTGGAATCGCTCTGAAACGGCCTCAAAACAGCACCTAAACACAAGTAATACACATAAGAGTCGAAGTACATGTATTAGGGCGTTTTCATTCAATTTTTTCCCCCACATTTCGACCTGTTATATACGATCGTTACATTCCCATGCAAACTAATATATTTACGCTGTTACACAATGTCAGAAAACAATGTTCACGGCTTAAAGGGAGCTTGTGATACCTGCGATGTAATCAGACATTCAAGAGAAGGAGCTCTGGAAACAAGTGTGAGAATTCAACAACAACAAAGAATTTGAATGAATCTTCGTTTTCTTTTCTTTTCTTTTCATCTTGGAATCAATGGATGGTCGAATCGATAGATCGTTAGCCCTGCGTAGCTGGCGCGATTTTGCGCTTTTGATTTGTCGAGAACGCGAGTAGCGGAGCCGTAAGGGATTGGTGAGGAGTCGAGTTGAATCGATTAATTCAGTACTGGTTTTGTTTTTCGAGCCATGGAAAAATGAGTCATACAAGTCTGTAGTTGTTATTAATTTACAAATACACTCACTTTTTAATTACAAAAAAAAAAACAACAACAACAACAACAACAACAGCGACAAAAAAACAAACAAACAAACAAACAAACAAACAAAGGAATATTATCCAAACGGTAAATGTTTAAAGCTGGCGTGAATTGCCAGACTCAGCAGATTCAGTTTTTCTTGCTAACGACAAAGACCGTCTTGCTGTTTAAGATTGCTTGTGATTTAACTTGTTGTAGACAAGACGAAAGCAGCAATAAATATGAAGTGTCTTGTAGCAGGAAATTAAACATTGAGTCATAAGCATAGTTAGTACTCTACTAACTATGGTCATAAGTCACGTCATGAATTCTCTGCAACTAAACGAGATCTGATTTGAAGCTATAACGGATTGTACTGTAGAACCCAGTACTACTGGACTGAATGCCGAGCTAACTATCTCAAGTCAAGTTTTATGGGAATCTAAAGGTTAGCATCCTATTCTTCTTGCAGCAAAACTTACGAGCCACGGCCTCCCCGTTAATAGCTATGTCCATTTACGCGTGCATTAGAGCACGGGTCGAGAGTCACTCTATCCTCATGGTTGCCCGTAGAAGTCTTGACTATATGCATCAGGCTAAAACTGCGCCCAAGTCAGGAGTTGCAGTTGACACAGGCATCGTGAGAAGGATCGTGAGGATGGTGTTAACGTTTGGACATAGAGTTGTATTTATGCAGTTAAGGAGTGTCAGCGAGAGTTGCTGGTCATTTTCCAGTTGAATGCAGTAACTGTTTTCAACCGCAACATCTCGTTCTCGTACTCTTTCTTGTCGGTCAGATTACACGTATACGAAAGCTCTGCTTCGCATATTAGATAAAACAGTGAATCTTTTTAACAAAACCCGCAGCCACTGGTGCGAGAGTTACATTGAACAATGCAATCTAAATATAGAACTACAATAGAGGTGGGAAAGAAACCCGAAAAGAAGGTTGGGGACACGAGCACTTAAAAACAAAGTCACCCAGAAAACTAGTTCTATGAAATAAAAAAAGAAATCTTCCAAGAAAAAATAATCCTACCGAGAAAAGTTTGTAAGCCCGGGCTTACTGGCTTAAAGGGAGCTACGCCCCTGGTATATCTACTGTATCCGTAAGTGTATTGAAGAACTAGATGATGATAATGATGATAATGATGATGATGATGATGATGATGATGATGATGATTACAGTTTTATTATTATTTACCATGGATTCGTCTCATAATGCACAGAATAAGCAAACACGTAACAAGAATAGAAGACTTGACGTGAGATTATTAATTAATGTTCAAGACCTACGTCTTTATTCCTGTCGAGTTTTCTGCTGTTGAAATGAAGTACATTATTAAGTACGTACGGTTGGCAAGAAATAGTTATATCGTTATTTTCTACACATGGCTACACTTTAAGCTCAGCCCGTTCTCCTAGGCCTGGGCAAAATTATCCTTCATAATGAGGTTGCACCCTGGCAATTATAAGTGGCTTGTTAAGGTCTAGTAAGTTCGTCAGTATCAAGTTGCTTCCTCTGTAAGTGACGATCGACCAAGTTGAATGAAAAAGCCTAATATGAACTTCTGAAATGTTTCAACCCAGGTCCGTGGATCGAGTGGCTTTCACAATTACCGCACCCTTCCCCTTCCCTTCTTTTTGGCGTCTCCGCACCTTCTCCAAATCTTGGAGCGACAACTGAGCTTCCTGCTTTCTCGAGGGACACTTGTGTGATTCCACGTCGATGACGAAATATTAATTTTCAATTTCTCTGACTAGATGCCATTGTTAATTACCAGGGTAAGGTGGTGGCGGCTCTCCAACATAAGGCAAATACGTCGTTTCAAGTTGCACTTGAAGAGGTGTTGCGCTTTCTGAAAAAGTGCTCCCTTCGAACTGTGGGAAAGCTAGTTCTGCCTGCAGCGAAGGCACTGGTACAGACTGTTGCATGTCGGGAATAGCAACTGTCATTGCCGCTGGCTGCTCCTGGCGCTGGCTCCCAAAAAGGTACTTCCGATCTTTGCAGCACAAAACTAAAAAGATCACTCCACCAATGACGAAGGTCGCGAGGAAAAAGAAGCCAACAAAAGCACTGGCGTTGAAAGCTGGAAACAACAGCAATACATAGTAGAATGCCAAAATAATAATAAAAAAAATAAACAAATGAATTTTACAATTGACGTCAGTTTTCATGCGTCTGTCCCGTTATTGGTCATGAATTTCGTCATAACATTGTCAAAGTAGCTGCAGGCTACTTTGACAATGTTATGGCGAAATTCATTGTCAATAACAGGGCAGACACATGAAAATAAATAATAAATAGACGAACGACCGACCGAATATAAATAAGCCAATGTAAAACGGCATTTTCTCGGGCAGATCCGTGCTACAAGAAAGAGACGACCGACTATGGTAATGCCCACCAAAAAATCCTGACAACTTAAGAACTACAGGAGATAAACTGGAACCGTACAACCATAGAAGTCCGCTAATTCTGGAACTTGCTTTATTTGTTTTTGTATGTTTATCTTTGTGTTTATTATGATTTGTTTGTCCAATTAGGAGATCTTGTTGCACTTCTGAACGCCTGGAACACCCAGACCAAGCCCTAATGCCAACGTCTTGAAGACTGGAAACTTAATTTTTAACTGTTAAGTATAACTCAAGAACAAAGGGTTTAAATTACCTTCAACTTCTTTTAAGAGGGACAGCAATACTGCGGAGTAAAATATATAATAGTCTCAGAAGCATCGCAGATCAAAATCTCGATTTAAACGAATAGCTTTCGTCGCTGATATAATGGACAAACACCCTGATGTTATCATAAGGCAATTAATATTGAAACGTTTTTACTTTCGTTTGAAAATGAGTCTTTAATAATTTATAAATACAACTGTTTCGTTAGGATTTAAATGAGATATACCGTAATTTACTACATTGAGCTGTATTGAGCTTAATTACGCCATTGGTGTTCGATAGATAGCTACAGGTTATGATTTTTTACTAAATACATGTATGTTCTATACGTAACAACGAGAAAATTGCTTCGTAGAAATTAATTGTATTTTCCTGAACGGCTATTTTAGCAGGAGGACTGGACAATTCAACGCGCGAACACTGAAATTTGCCAAAGAATCAAATTCCAATTAACCTATTTTACCTAATAATTAGTTACAACCGGCAACAAATTGTTAACCCTGGTGATTTCGCCATTGATTGTAGCATTAATACTTCTGCTTAGCTTTGTTTGTAAGATAAAAATCCTTACTTGCCGGTCAAAGGTATTATTCAAGGCCGGGACAGAGTTTAAAGGAAGATTTTATTTGACTGGCGAGCCCATTCTGGTTTTAACCATTTCTAGAGTACTTAAGCTTAGCTAGGGGACGAAAATCACCACAGAAACTTACCTAAAACAACACAATTTTGAAAACTCTTCGTCATAGCTCCAACACTGATCAGATTTTCTTTTGCAACTTCTTTTGTGTAAAAATATTGCTCCCTGCCGTTGCTTGTGTGAAGATTTTCGAGCTTCTGGCTGCAGCTGTAATTGTTATTGAAATGAGCTATTGAAATGTGAAAAACCTCAGATCATAATCGCCGAACTCGATTTGCTTCATTAGCTGAGTGTTTTTCGTTATGCGTGATTTTAAACAAAACCTAGCTTTATTTTTAATTTCGGCCACTATTGGACAAACTAGAGCCTCGACATGGAGATCTAACGGTCAGTGGATAAATAAACACGATACGCAATATATCATGTTGTGTCGACTCAAAGGTAAAACTGTATTTTTTTTGCTACTCCCACTGGACGGATGCTAATCCATCGCAGGGTTACCCCTTCCCCTCTAAAATCAACATTAAATTCGCTGGTGTCTATGCGTACACCTGGACGTATAGAGAGTCTTTTATGAAGGTAAAATGACTTACCTGAAATCACGACACAAATACCTCGGCGACTGCTCGAACACAGACCCTTAAAAGTCCAGAGTTATGACGGTTAGTGCGCTGTGCCTTGATCACTGACACTCCTAGTATATATACGTTTTTCTACAATTAAACCACTGTTTGGATTCTGGACCATGCGCACCAGATAGCTGCCTAAATCAGAGTGAAATGGCTACACTACACTGATATGCAGAAACAGTTTTCAGATACTATAAGATGGTACATGATACTACAAAAGTCGGCGATGCTTCCTCGCCAGGGTAGGGTGGTGGAGGTTCTGCTTTAGGTGGAGGCGCTGTTGGTGTCGGAGGTTCTATGATTTTGGGTACACAAACTGCTTCAAAAGCTTCCTGTTGGCTCTGTAGATAAACCGTGGGCAAACCTTCTGGTGTCGATCCGTTCGGTTGGGGGGTGATTGGATGAAGCTCTTGCACTGACAGTTGTAAACGTATTTACTGTTGTGGTTCCTGTGCGGCTTCGCGTCGTCTCACTAATGCATGCGGCGACCCCCCCGAAGATACAACCTACGACGCGCACCATGATGCACAAAATAACGATGGCCAGAATAATATAGCTGATGATATAACCAATAAAGAACGCTGAAAAAGAGCCGATAAAGATAATGTACAACTTGGTAGGCTTCAAAACATTATTTTGAAATAACTCTCTAGATTGACCACTGGAGTCGTATGGAGGCAGCGGGTTCAAGTCGTGTTCTGACCATTAAGCTAGAGTTGTTTCCAGGAAGACCCTCGTTCAACTCCTCGGTCATGCTTGTAAATAAACTGGTCTGCCTC